TATTTAGGGTAAGTAGCGCTAACAGATGACAGTGTTTGCCTGGCCTGGTCTCTGGTCATCACCCACACTCTCACGGCCTGGACGAAAACGAGCACTCCATTTTCTGACAGACTTGCCAGAGACACATTTCTCCCCGTAAACTGTCACCATCCGCCGATGAATAGCTGCCGGTTTCTCACCTTCCGCTGTCAGAAATCGGATAACACTTTGCTACTCCTCAATCGTCAAATTTTGCAACGCGAACGCCATCCTGTCCTCATACGGACTGCTGCATCATTTGGACGCCACTTTTTATAAGAGCCTTTGCTCTCTCCTGCGCATAATCCGATCCCAGTCAGAGCCTCTAATGGCATCCCGAAATGTCTCGCTACATTCTCCCATGGCGGAATATGCAAATATTTTAACTGTTTCATTTTTATGTCGTTTCGTACCTTTTCATTTGATCACCCCTTATATATTAAAATTAATGTCCTAATGATATTTTTGAATTTATTGAAGTATTGTAAAAAATGATTAATGGAATAGGTGTAACAAATTAAAGCTGTGTTGCTTTTAATGTTTCATTGTATTCTGATTATAGCAATGGAGTATGTTGGAATTTTTTTTTATATAGATAAAACTCCCTTTTACAATTCATAAAATCAATTTATTAATTCTAAATCATAAAATACGTTTTTACTTAGTTAATGGCAATAATTAGTGGGTTAGAGTTGTAGAGAATTGAGGTTGTATGCAGATAGGACATCAAAAATTTATTATGCATACATTATATGTTAAAAAGTATGTGTACTGTTAATCTAAAATAATATGTGCCAATGTTTTAAAAAAAATTGTCTAAATCAAGAATGTAAGGGGAAAAAATAATTGCCAATCATGCAGCAATATGATAGATTCTAGATCAATACATAGGGAGTATGAAACATGAAGTATTTGCTTGTACATTGCAACATCATTTACAGTGTTGTAGACTATTAACATTATTTTGCCTACCTTTATGACATAGGAGTCTGTAATGAAGTGCTAACTAATGCTCAATGAATGATATGACATAGTCTTTTACAGACGAATTTGCTTTTACATACTGTGCTCTGGTTGTCATTCCATGTGGGATGGTATTGTGGGGAATACTCTGTGGAACTTTGCATTATGCTTCAGTATACTGGTCCAGCTTCTGGAGTTGTGATATGGCCATTAGATATTAGTCCCACTTATTTCTAGTATGCATAACTAATGCTCTCTGACTACCCTATTTGCATCTCAGAGGGGAGGCTAACATACCTTGAGGGCAGTGCTCAACTATATATATATGCAATTCACACACAATATCCTACAGTTCCTTAATGGCATGCATGTCCTGCTTTTTGCCTTGATCAATATGTTCAGTGTATATTTTATTGATTAAAAATGCACTCCAGTCTAGTGATCTCTTCTTTAAGCCATTTATTTGATATAATATGACATTACAATTCATCTTTTATAATATAGAATTATTTTAAAATAAAATGTATATTTTTAGATTTTTTTTTCATGTTATTTTTAATAGTTCTTTTTTCCTTTGTGTTAATGGTACAAAATCATAATGTGCTGATTTTTTTTCTATAGGCTCGCTTGAATTTAAGAGACACTGTTGTAAAACAAGATGTGGATGAAGCTATTCGATTATTAGATATGTCAAAAGCATCCCTCAACCAAACTCAACAATTTACTGGAAGGTATGTACTACTTCTAAATTAATTTTAATCTGTTTATCAAAGTTGTGATAAAAAAAAAATGACATTTGATTAATTTAAAAAAAAATTTGCTACTTTAAGTATTGACGAATCTAAAACTGACATATATTATTAATTCAAACAATAAAAATTGAGTTTATATTACTTGTATCTTTTAACACAATAATTTGATATGATCTTAATCAGCCAAATGAATACTACAAAATTTTTATGTGCTGTATGAAACCTCATTAGAATAAACAATAAACCTACATTTTGAATGAAACTTTTTTTATTGGTTATTTTTATATTTTAAACTGTTTTATTTAATCATATTTTTTTCCAGTACACAAATTTAGAGTAGATATCTAGGTATTTTCTAAACTTTACTCTGCTAGTTCATTTTACATTCTTTTTCAACATGGTTTATCTTGGGGGGAAAAAATGCCCTGATACAAGTTTGTTGAAAATAGTTACACTTGGATAATGTATAACTTTATGTTGCAAGTAAATATTATGATTATATATTTTTTATTTTACATAAATATTTGTACACAAACCTGATAATTATAAAATAGTTATAAAATATTAAATAAATTTGTAAGTCTCAACAATGAATATGAATCATATTGTTTTGGTAATAAAAACTTGCTCTCTTCATGTAATTGCTTCATTTATTACAGTAGCGAAAAATGAGGAAAAATTTGATTGCATGGGAATTCTTAGCAGGATAAAAAGATATGGTAAAATTAAATATCAAAGTATTGTCATGAGTTATGGATGTTAATTAAAGAAGCAACATTAAATTGAACAAAAGTAAAAAGAATTTTTTAGATCGAAAATATTCTGTATTTCTTGCCTTCAGTAGTAGTTCCATTGTTTTGTTATTGTTCTTTAACAAATTCAATTATGTAGACTTAAATTCATTGAATTTAATTTTCTTAGAGAGAAGTTAGTGCAAGAGAGCCCACCATTTTGAGGAAGAGTACCACTATCAGATAAAAAACAATTATGATATGCCGCTTCTAACTGTTACTACAAACAAAAAAAGAAAATTTTATGAAAAGTTGAAAAAATTTTACTTATAGACTTATTATTGGATTTTTAAGTAAATAGTACATTTTTTATGCAAGCCTAAGTAGTGAAAATTTAAAAATAATATAATAAACAAGAAAAAAGTACAAACTTAGGTTTTAGGCTCCAAAATCCAGAGAAAAAAAAGCACGTTTATGCACAAAAGAAGAGATATAACAAATTAGGGTAGAAGAAGTACAATTTTTCCATGTAATTTTAAATTATTTAAATGCCCCCATAATATTGGCAAGAAGAGCTAATTCCCATAGCCAATTTTCATTCTTGAGTAAAAGGCACTCATTGGGCAATTCATTGTTTTCTTCCAGATATTTTAAAACACACTCCCTAAAATTCCAAAATCTCGTGAGTGCACTTGGATAGCCAGAGCACACAACAATGAAGGAGTGACTATGTGATAATTTTCCGTTGTAGCTCAATTAAGTGTATTTAAAATAAGTTTTGTTTTTTGTCAGAGACAATTACATTTCTATAAAATTGTAAAATGAATGTTATTTATTATCTTTTCAATTTTATTTTGTATTTCAATAAGTCTTCACACACATACCACTGTCAAAACTCTGCCGTGCCACAGGTTGACCACCCCTGAGTTAGTGCTTGGTTGTTGCTTAGGATTTCATAAAAAAGGTGGGATTTCAGAAATATATCTATGCATTTTTCTATGCTTCTATATCAGTGTTTATCTCCCTTCTTTCCTTCACATGCAAAAAAGTTTTAGGTTCTTGAATATCCTTGGAATTTATATAAATATTAAGGTATATTAATGCATAGAAAATAGTACCAAGTATGGATCTTGTTTCTTTTTTTTTGGATGTTTGAATCATTGTCTGTAGATTTCTATCTTATCTGAAATAGTCATAAATTATATGAGCAAGGATATTTTTGTCAATCTATGGGTTCAAATCCCACTTCTTGTGAAGACCCATTTATAAAGAATCATGGAAACTGAAGCACATTACTGATATGGTGTATGATTACTTGTGATATGGTATGGGAATTGAAAAAATAAGATACCAATATGTGTCATTAAATTGTTGCTTAAAATTAGGTAGAACATTGTTAAAAGTCCTTATTTTCCTCTACAGCAAATTTAACATGCATCAAACATTGCAGTAAACAATTTCTTTCTTAAAGGAATTTCTACATTTTGATGAAAATGCAGTAAATTTTTTTTTGGCAATTGCAACAACATCCACATTTTTTAAAAATATAAATGGAATTTAATTTTAAAAAGATTAAAAAATTGTAAAAAGTTGCACAAAGTCATAGAAAGCTGCAAGTCTAAAAACAATTATACTTTTTATAAAATATTGATTGAAAATAAATTATTTCTCTTTTAGGGCACAAACAGCAACTGACCAAATCTTCAACATTATTCGAGATATTATGGCTGAAAATGGTGGTAGTAGAACTGTTAAAATGGCAGATGCACTTGAGCGTTGTCTGGCAAAAGGCTTTAAACCAGATCAGTTTGAAGAAGCAATTGAAGAGTATGAGGAATTGGACATATGGCAGATTAACCAATCAAGAACAAAGATAACATTTATATAATATTAATTTTCACTTATTTTCATATTGTATGTAAACATCTAAGTTTTTATGGTTTTCAATAAATTTTGGATATTTATCAATATTTATATTTTGGTTCTAAGAAATAGTAAAAGAAAAACAAACATGTTGTAAGCATCCAAGAAAAGTGGGGAAAAAAAGAAAAATATATTACCTTAAAAATGATATTTTAAAATAAATTATAGTTTTAAAAAAAAACATTAAGAACATGCTTTTATATTGATTCAAACAAAAAAGGAAATAAATAAATCGTAATATAAGAATAAAAGGATAAATGAGAAAATTGATGTCATTTGGGGTAAAAACGTAGGGTGTTCTATAAATATATCGATTGTTATAGTTTCTAACTTCTAATTCCGAAATGCTCAGTAACTGTAAAAATGTAGTACAAAGCACCCCACGCTTTTACCCCAATGACATTAATTTTCTCGTTCATCATTTTACTCCTATATTAAGATTTCTTTCTTTACTTTTTAGTTTGAATCAATATTGAAGCGTGTTTTTTGAACTCCAAAGACACACAAGTTAATTTTCAGGCAAACTGATTTGAAACCTACCTCCCCACATTATTTTAAGAAAATTCCTTGACTGTCTTACTCTATGGTGCGACTTCTTTTAAAGTAAAAAAGACACCCGAACAGGGACTCCCTCGAATCCTGAACCAATTAGGTTAGAAGCCTAACGCTCTACCGACTGAGCTATCCGGGCTTCTTTCAATAACTTCGATTCTTTTGTTTAATATATAAACAAGCATCAGAATAATACAAAGGTTCAAAGAAACAAAAATTTCCCATCCAAGAGAAGGAAGTTAATTTTAACACAAACTCATCTGCCGAACCCTACCTCTTGACGTGGTTTTAAGAGAATCCGTCTTAAATCACGTCAAAAAGAGAGAATGTTCTTACTCAATCATGAGAAACCTTTTCAAGTAAAAAGAACGCCCAAACAGGGACTCGAACCCTGGACCGTTAGGTTAAAAGCCTAATGCTCTACCGACTGAGCTATCCCGGCTCGTTGTTTCTATTATTCCATGGTTCTACTATAGAATAATAGAATTGATCTCGTACTTCGTGGGATCGAAAACGTAACTCACTTAAAACAGAACGATCCCATCAAAATTTTTGAAACAGATATATTTTATTGCATGTAATCGATTTTAGCAAGAATATTTCGCTTATATAGACTGTTAATGTATTATTTATTCGTGTAATTTATTGTTTATTTGTTAAAAACAATCGCATTTAGAAAAAAATTCTTCTTATACTTTCATTTAATATATTCCGAAGCGTGTGAATAATACAAAGGATTGTGGTAGCAAAAAGAAATGTCCCATCAAAGATTCAAAAATTGATTTTCAGGCAAACTGTATCGTAGAAATTTACCTCTCGACATTAATTTAAAAGAATTCCTCAACTGCTGTATTACTCTAGGGTGTGACTTCTTTTGAATAAAAAAGTACGCCCGAACAGGGACTCGAAACCTGGATCGTTAGGTTAAAAGCCTAACTCTCTACCGACTGAGCTATCCGGGCTTCTGCCGATAGTTTCGATACTTTTGTTTAATAAATAAAAAAGTGTCAGAATGATACAATGGTTCATAGAAAAAAAAAGAAAAATTTCCCATTCACACAAGATAAGTTAATTTTAACACAAACCCTTCTGTCGAACCCTACCTCTCGACTTGATTTGAAGAGAATTCGTCAAAGTTCTTATACATTCATGAGAATCTTTCTCAACTAAAAAGTTCGCCCGAACACGGACTCGAACCCTGGACCGTTAGGTAAAAAGCCTAACGCTCTACTGACTGAGCTATCCGGGCTCGGTTTTTCATTCCTTCCATGGTTCTACAGTAGCAAAATAGAATTGATCCCGTACTACGTTGGTTCGAAAACGTAATTCACTTAAAACAACGATCCCATCAATTTTTTGAAAAAGTTATATATTTTAATGCATGGTAGTCCATTTTAGCAAGAATGTTGCGCTTATATAGAATGTTAATGTATTATTTATCCTTGTAACATATTGTTTTCTTTGTTAAAAACAATCGCATTTAGAAAAAAATTCTTCTTATACTTTCATTTAATATATTCCGAAGCGTGTGAATAATACAAAGGATTGTGGTAGGAAAAAGAAATGTCCCATCAAAGATTCACAAATTGATTTTCAGGGAATTTGTTTCGTAGAAACCTAAATCTAGACATTAAGTTAACAGAGTTCCTCAACTGTATTACTCTATGGTGTGACTTCTTTTGAATAAAAAAGTACTCCCGAACAGGGACTTCAAACCTGGACCGTTAGGTTAAAAGCCTAACTCTCTACCGACTGAGCTATCCGGGCTTCTCCCGATAGTTTCGATACTTATGGTTAATAAATAAAAAAGCGTCAGAATGATACAAAGGTTCATAGAAAAGAAAAAGAAAAATTTCCAATTCACATGATAAGTTAATTTTAACACAAACCCATCTGCCGAACAATACCTCTCGACTTGATTTGAAGAGAATTCGTCAACGTTCTTACCCAATCATGAGAATCTTTCTCAACTAAAAAGTTCGCCTGAACAGGGACTCGAACCCTGGACCGTTAGGTTAAAAGCCTTACGCTCTTTCGACTGAGCTATCCGGGCACGTTTTTTCATTCCTTCCATGGTTCTACAATAGAATTGATCCCGTAATATGTGGGATCGAAAACGTAATTCACTTAAAACAACGATCCCATCAATTTTTTGAAACAGTTATATATTTTATTGCATGGTTGTCCATTTTACCAAGAATATTGCGCTTATATAGAATGTTAATGTATTATTTATCCTTGTAACATATTGTTTCCTTTGTTAAAAACAATCGCATTTAGAAAAAAATTCTTCTTATACTTTCATTTAATATATTCCGAAGCGTGTGAATAATACAAAGGATTGTGGCAGCAAAAAGAAATATCCCATCAAAGATTCAAAACTTGATTTTCAGGCAAACTGTTTTGTAGAAACCTACCTCTCGACATTAATTTAACAGAATTCCTCAACTGTATTACTCTAGGGTGTGACTTCTTTTGAATAAAAAATACGCCCGAACAGGGAATCGAAACCTGGACCATTAGGTTAAAAACCTAACGCTCTACCGACTGAGCTACGCGGGCTTCTGCCGATGGTTTCGATAGTTTTGTACAAAATAAAAATGCGTCAGAATGATACAAAGGTTCATAGAAAATAAAAACAAAAATCTCCCATTCAAGATAAGTTAATTTTAACACAAACCCATGTGCCGAACCCTACCTCTCGATTTGATTTTAAGTGTATCCGTCAAAGTTCTCAATCAATCA